GTCATGTGAAATAATATACTAGTTCAGAGATTTTCATTAACTCTTAAAGTTCACTTACTCAGAATATACTTGTGGATTTTTTTTCTTTCCTAAAATTTTCATTAATATAATTTCCTTGTGTGGACTGGTATACTTAGCCAAAAGGGTACAAAATTCCTATTTTTAAAAAGTTTATTGAACATTACTCCTACATCACACTTATTAAAAGAAAACAAATTAACTTTCCCTGAAGGCACCCTGTAAATTTCATTATGATCTATATCCTAACAATTTTTGTATTAAAAATATAGGTTAAATATGAAATTAGCAAAATGCATCATATGAAACTTCATGCTGAGCAAAACCAAGTCCAAAAAAAGTTATCATATATTAATAGAAGAGCTACCACAGTATTTAAGAGGTTTCCTATGTAAATCATATTTGAATGCAATTTTTAGAACCATAAATATATTTTGCTTGCAATTTGTTAACTGTAGGCATCCACATTTTTCTTCTACCATATAATCTGTTCCTTCAAGTTGGCAACATCTGTTAGGGTCCACAGAATGCAGCAAAAAATAGCAGCTATTTCTCCAGATTTGAGAAATCTGGTCCACCTTTCGTGTAGTTTCCTGAGATTTCTGCTCCACTGAAGTCAAAACCAGGATTCTAAAAGATATAAACAAAAATGTATGACAAAACTTATGAGGAAAACTATAAGTAAACTTCAAAGGAAAATGATAAAAAGCTTGAAAGGCAGGTGACAAAAAAAGGAAATCTAAATGGCCAATAAACATGTAAATATGTACCAAACTTCACTGTAATCACCAACATGAAACTTAAAACTCTAATTTTATAATGTTCAGACTTACAAATAATTAGAAGATCCAATATGCATGTTACAATGTTGACAAGTGTATGGACAAACACATATACATTTGAGAGTATTTAAAATTTTTTTTTAGCAAAAGGAGAGCCCTGACTGATTTGGCTCAGTGGATAGAGTGTCGGCCTGCGGACGCAGGGGTCCCGGGTTCGATTCCCGTCAAGGGCATGTACCTCGGTTGCAGGCACATCCCCAGTAGGAGGTGTGCAGGAGGCAGGTGATTGATGTTTCTCTCTCATCGATGTTTCTAACTCTCTATCCCTCTCCCTTCCTCTCTACAATCAATAAAGATATATTTAAAGAGAGAGAGAGTGAGAGACCAATAATAAATCATTATAGTTATCTAGTGCAGGAGTCAGCAAACTTTTCTGTAAAGAGCCAGGTAGTAAATATGTTAGGCTTTGAAGACCATATAATCTCAGTAATAACTACTCGATTTTGCTGCTGCTCTTATGAAAGACAATACACAAACAAATGAGCATAGCAGTGTTTCAATAAAACTTTACTCAAAAACAGGCTGGACTTGACCCATGAGCCAGTTTGCAAGCCCCTGATCTAGTGTATTAAGAGTTGGTATTGCCGAAACCGGTTTGGCTCAGTGGATAGAGCGTCGGCTTGAGGACTGAAAGGTCCCAGGTTCGATTCCGGTCAAGGGCATGTACATGGGTTGCGGGCACATCCCCAGTGGGGAGTGTGCAGGAGGCAGCTGATC